GCAATTTTCAGATTGAGTGAAATGGGATGATAATGGTGCCACACATCTGACTTGTACTTTGATAAAAGTATTTTTAAATTACTTTTTATATTTTAGCATTCTCTCAGTTTCTTGTTTAAGTAAATATTTCTGCTAGTATGCTTATTATTAATTCACATAAAATCAACTTGGGCTAATTTTTTTTTAAAAATAACAAACCACTGAAGAATTAAATCTAACAACAGATAGAATGTACAAAATTTTATTTAATGTCTGACATTAAACATGTTAAATTAAAGATACAAGCATTTTGCACTTGATGTAGTCTTTTTCTTTCTATCCTTAACTGGATAGCAATGGGTCATTTAAAAACTAACAATCTAATTTGGGGAGAGGGAGAATAGCCTTAGATCATTCTCTTTCATTGTTTTTGAAAATAAAATGCTCTTTTCAGATGTGAAAAATCATAAATGGTCCTCTATTTATCCAGGATCTAATACCTTTGTGCTTATGAACAGTTTCCATTGCAGACTCAGCAAGACTGCTAGGAATCACTGCTTATATTAAGGCACAAGACTGTGCAAGCCTTGAAGGCTTGTGAAATCCATTGCTGTGTAGTAATCTAGAGTTTCAGGTTTATTATATGGTAAATGGATTAAGTAATTTTTTTGCATGCCTTTGAAGGGAAAACACATGAGAAACTGGAATTAAGTTTCTTGGATTTAAATGTTCTTGTCACATTCTACCAGCAAAGAAGGTGCCTAAAACATCTAGTGTTAGAATTAATGTAGCTTCATGCCTACTATCTAGGATACAGTTATATTCATACAGCTTGCAACATGGTTAGGTACTTTTGCTTCCTAATTTATATGTGTGAAATAAAAGGTTTCACTGTGGCTGCTGAGACGGAGTTTTCTTTTTGACTCTTGTAACATACAAGATAGCTGTATTACTTCTGGAACAGAGAAGTAGTACTTTCATGGAAGGTAGGAAGAGAACCCATTCTTCCCCCTCACCACTCCCTACTTTTTCTCTCCTTTTTCCTGCTTTCTTTTTTTTTTTTCCTGTTTAATGTGTAATAGGAATTTCCTCTGATCTTGTTTAGAGAGAACTGTCTGGCACTTAAGTAAGTGCTGTTCCACTGAAGCATTGCATTTTCAGATTACTTTCAAACAAAGGATTCAATCTTAGGAAGAATTAATGAATGTCTTTTTTGGATACAATCACAAAACTTTCCTTGCTTACATCAGTGAAGTACTGTCTCTGAGTAACAGCATGAGTGATACCCTGAAGTCAATGAGAAATCTGCTTTGGGTCAGTTTCTGAATTAAATTCTGTAGTAACAGGTGATTAAGAGCTGTGCCAGAAGATTCTTCAGGAACATTTGTAACTTCAAAATACCAAGATAATGTGTTATGATGGGTATGGCTCATATAAAACAGAAGAGGTGCCATGTAAACTGTACTGAAAACAGTAGAACTATTGCTACAGGCACTTGCCACCAGACCACTCTGCTATAGAAATTATCTTACATAATTTCTTACCTAGATCAAGTGACTAAAGCTGCACATTTCAAGTTCCTACTCTGAAAGGAGAGCTTTATTTAGACAATGTTTTATACTATATTTACCTGAAGTCTTAGCATCACAACACTTTAAAATTTCTTTCACTTTTAAAACAGTGTAGAGTGTTTTGACTACAGGAAAGTAATGATTACAAATTCTAGTGTGGTCTCACACTATTTAGTATTCTAGTAGTCTTAGATATACTTATTTGTAGAGACCTAAAGTTACAGGAAACATCCTATTACCAGCATCCCTTGTCTATTAATCTGAAAAGTCAACAGACTTCATCTGTAAGATAAGTGAAGTAGTGAAGTTCCCAAGTTAAATGTAGAAGGCTTTGAATGTTGCTCTCAGTTTTGATGTATTTTTGGTACGATTCGCTAGCTGTTACATCAAAAAATATACTGTGAACTGAAACAATTTTAACTAGCATTTTATTTTCCAATTTATCAATTAGAATTCTTCTTATATCTCTAATATTATTAATTTAATAATTTCTCATCAATTAGATGGAACAGTGCTCTGATCTGCAGCATGTAATACTAATACTGTCCAGGAAATTCTTGAGACTGATGACAATTTGAACTTGCTTTGAGTGTTTCCAATCATGCTGACCACTATTGATTTTTCTGTTTCCTGACAGTTCCTTATTTAGCTATATATTTGTCTCAATTTGGTGGTATAAAGTGAGGATGGAAAATTAGATTAGAAATTGGTTGGAAACAAGAGTTATTGACCTTCAGTACAGCAAATAAAACTAATAAAAAAAAAAGGAAAGATTTTCCATTGCACTATTTACTTTTGTATGTTTGTTTGTTTATTTTTTTCAGAACATTTCTGCATCTCTGCATTCATCTTGTGAAAAATCCCTATATTTCTAGATGAAAGGTTATCATCTTCTTCTTACAGTGCTTATTAGAAAGGCTTATGGCTTATTCTAGTCCCTGAATCAATTACTAATAATAACTAACAGTTTTATTAAACACACAGCAATAGATAACTACGTGCAGTAAAGGGAGGTAAGTTGTTAAAGTCTGAACTAAAATTAAATTTATATGCTAGTTATCTGTAAAGTACCAAATTTTAAAGTTATCTTTGGTAAATGATAGATAAATTGTCATTGCTCTGAGACTTAAGAATAAAAATGTAATTTGCTATTCCTTTCCATAGAATAGAAGCTTATTTTTGCTTTCAATTAAGTCTGTATGTGAATTTCTACTCGTAGGCATACCAACCAACAAATCTATTCTTTATCATGATATTAAAAAAAAACGTTTTGCATTAATCAGTCTCATCTCTCTCAGGGGATAGTCTGTGCTCCTTGTTTTGGGAAGGAGATTTTTCTATTAGGTTTAGGTAGGAAAAAAAACCAAAAAGCCACATGCACACATGGTCCCCACCCCCAGATAAGAAAAGTATAACAAAAGTAAACTAACTGCAGATCATTAAAACTTTTAAACTGGGCAACTTCAGTCTTGCAACAACACTTGGATGAAAAGGAAATTAAGCAGAGTTTAGTAAGAAGATTAAGAGTCACTAAAAACAAACAAAAAAAAGAGGTTCTCAGCAGAGGCCTATTACAACTTTTTTTGAAACATCAGCCAAAATGTCTGGAATTGAACCTTTAAGCACACAGTGAGCAGTCTTTCATTTCCCCCTTCCCCTCACCTCCACCCACCATAGAACTAAGATGTCACTGAGGCAAATTAAGGGATGAAAGTTCACGATTTGCTTCAGATCATTTTGTTTAAGAATACTCCAAACCAGCTGCCTGTTGAGATTTCAAATTAAATTAGGAAAAATAATTGCTGTAATCCCTCTGTCTAAAACAAGCTTTGCCATTTACCTAGGTTTTTTAACACAGTTTGTTTAATCTATTACCACTGTCACCTCTGCTGTGTTCTGTCATAATCCAATCAACTGCAAGAAAAGCATGCTACTGTTTGTAAAGCAAACAAAGCAAACCCTTCGGTGTAAATGTCAAGAGCTCTAGCTTTCTCTTGCTTGGCAGTGAAACAGAAATATTAAGGTATGATTTTTTATTTATTTTTTTTAATAAATTAATTTGAGCTACATTTCTTAGACCAGTTGATTGTTAGGTAGTATGGGAATTTTTATTTGTTCATTTCATGTATTAAAAATTCAACCTCTCCATGTGTAGTAGCAAAAGCGACAAGGCATTTGTTAGCACATTGGAATTCTCATTCACCACATGAGTGATGGCTTGTCAAGTTTTGAGAGTTTTTGTTGATGTGTGTCCCTTATAAATTTCAAGCAGTATTCTTCAAGGGATTAGCTGAAATGTGAATTCTTTCCTTGACTGAGATTAGAGAACACTTTAAATTCACCTAAACCATTGTATAATGTTCATTTAGATTAAACTTGATTGGAACTCTAATTACGAAGTTCATCTCTAGGCAAAAAAGGAAATGCGGTTTGAGAAGTGATATTAATCCCATCTCAAATATCACTTGCATTTAAGAATATAGCAAATGGGCATATTGTACATGCCATTTTTATGTAAGGTCATACTTATCTAGGCACCAATATTTTGCTAAACATAACAAAAAAAATGATAATCTGAAGAGCTTGCAGTAGGGGGGACGTTGCAAAAAGATGCCCAGTGCATTCAAATGAGTTTAGATTCAGTCTCTCTGTAATTACAGGAAGCACAGAAAGCACTTGAATCTGAGTGTTTTTGTCTTTGCCTTTATTAATAAAACAGTCTTCAAGTCAAAGGCTACTTAAAGGTTGCCTAATATTAAGGTTATGAGCAAATAGTTGTTGAATTAAGTTGGAACCAATGCTTCAACATTTCTTTTCTGCAATCAGGAATTAATCAGAGTTGCTCTCTTCAGATTTGTACAAGGAGAAATGAAAAGTATTTGATTTATGAGCAATATCAAGGAACCGGGAAACTTTTGGAAGTGGTTAGTATGAAGAAGTAGGCTAGAAGGGAACCCAAATAGAATGCTGGTATTGAATGGTCTGAAAGACCACAGGAAAAGGGGACTTTCTTAGGTCATGTAGAATATTTGCAGAGTCAAATTACTGAAGTAAGCTAGTGAAGCATCTTTTTGGGGCAGCTGGGTAAGTGACCTTGGATGTAGACGTTGGTGCTTTTTATAGCATGAGCATTTGTTAGAGTTTGGACCTGGCTCCCTGCCAAGTCCCTGAGACTGTAGCAAAAACCTCCCACTCCCTTCCCCTTTGGGCAAAGGAAAAACTATAGAAACTGAAAAAAAACCCAAACCCAACTGAATTATATCAAAATATATATATTTTTACATATATTACGGTTATATACAGTTAAAATACTGTGTACATATAAAAAGGAATCCCAAACACCCCCCAAAGGGGAAGGAAAAGGGAAAAGGGACAAAAAGGAAACCAAAACAGATATGCACAATCGAACTCCGGGAACAATCAATAAAGAACTAGCAAAGAAAATCTTACTACTCTCCTTGAGACAGCAGAATCACACCAAACGATCACCCGCACCCTCCGTCTCCCAAGGCCTCCAAGGCCCCACTGGGCCTCACTCCCCCACATGAGCAGGACCGACAGCAGAGAACCTGTGCCTTCAGGTCCACCAGAAGGGAAGAGGGAAGAGGCTTCTCTCTCCTTCTTATTTATACCCTGACGTACATAAAAATCGTATGGAATACCGGGAACGTGGCCACTTCCTTGGTTACAAACTAGTCACCAAGGAAGGCCTAGACTAAAACTACCACAGCATTGCTTTTAAAATATGGCAAAGCCACAAGAAGTAGGAGGGCAATATGTCTGAACAGCTTCTAAAATAGGAAACGTAGAGCAGGCAAGGTTGTGAGTTATGCTGACAGAAATTCTGGAGATGCAGTTGGTTGCCCCAGCCTGAGACAGAATTTTGGGGTAGGGTTAAGCAAAAGAGAAAGCTTAGAAGTGTTGTTGGAATGGGGCTAGAATCAGGGGAGCGGGAGTCCAAGGAAAGTTAGGAAAACCAAGAGATCTGTACTGTGAGGGCCTTTATGGTGTGAGCCAGAGGTGAGGGTCTTAGTCCCAGACAGAGCTGGAAAATACTGTTGCTCATATTGTAATATAGTTATAAGGTCTGCATAAAATTATCTATGTATATATGCATTGAATATATATAAAATGAGAGAATATGAGTATTTTTTCCTAAAAAACAGTAAAAATTTTAAACAAAAAATTATTTGATGGACCATTTATTATTGGTAATTTAATTATAATTAATTTTTTTCAGTTAGTAAATAGCTCGCATTTATCACATTCATCTTATGGAGGAAGAGAGGAAATTTTCAGGATGTTTCCCAGCATCTTGATAGACAAGATATTTGTAACTTTTAAGTAGCTTTAAAAAAAAAAAAATATTATGGCAAATTTTTCAAAATGTAGGAGGAATAGTTATAGATTTCATACCTTTTTTCTAATTTAGAAATCTTGTGGGGCCATTTGTTCTGAGATTCAGCAAACAGCAAACCTTCCTCTGGGAATTCACATCAGCAGATGGATATCCCCATTCCCCACAGTAGGGAGTTTTCTGTTGCTATTATTCACCACTTCCTCCTAGTGATCCTGAGTGGCTCAGCCTCATTCACCAGAGAGACTTCTCATCAACTGCAAGGGCAGTGAACCTGTTCTGAAGGTACAAGTTATCAGGTGGGGCATGAATCTAGTGCAAGAAGCCACCAGTTTCCAATCTTCATCGTGAGAGTTTCCACTTTCCAAATTCATAAGCATAGGTTCTTCCTGCCGCTCCCCTAAAGCTGATGGTTCAGACTCTTGAAGCTGCAAGATCTCAGAGAAGATCTAGTCCATCTGTTTCTCATCCTCTCTGATTCTGTGCAGTTTGGTGGCCCCTTCCCATATGTCTTTCACAAGGAAGGAGAGCCCCTTGACAGCTACACATCTCCTGCAGGGTATGAGCGAGAGGCTCAAGAGGCTCAAGGGACTCCCTGCAGCCTGACACTTGCTGTGTCCTCCTTCTGAAGCTTTCTGGTAGTGAAGGAGCAGTTACTTCAGTCATTCTTTATGTGACAGCAGCAGAAACCCACAAGTACCTTATGGGGTTCCCATGAGTTCCTCAGTGATCTCTGAGAAAATGCCCAGAAAGTCAAGAAGAGACTTAAATCTTTCAACTTCACCTTGGAGAATGTACTCACAGTGCTTATTTCATCTACTTAGAAATTCAGTCAATATCAATAATAATGACAAAACTGAGGAATGGTTCTTACACAAATATTTTATTTTGAGGTATGCAAATATATGGCCTGCTACCTTTTTGGCAATATGGGAGCTCCTCAACCAGAAATGGTGATAAAATATTGATATATTAGCAAATATCAGAGAAAGCTGCATCAAGAATGGAAACTGAGATGAGGCTGACATTATGTTCTATTTTGAAAGGTACGAGAAGATGGTCATGTTTAGTTTTTATTATTTTTATTGTTTTCTTAATTAAATTTGCATAGAGAAGATACGTTAGTGCTCATAATAATCAAGCGTATGTTTTCCTGTGACCAGGAAAACATACTGTGTATGTTTTCTGTGTTTCTCTCAGCTGAAACACACTTTACTCGTAACAACACTTACAGGTATTTGCATGGACTAGTAATGTATGAAGTTTGCATCTTAAAATACAGATTGATAGTGTTCTGAAAGATAATAAGGTATCTAGTTCATTTTTCATATGCATTAGTAATTTGGTTGATCAGGACACACAGAAAAGATTGATATATTGCCTGGCTATAAAAATGAATAAAGCATTTATGCATTTTTTTCAGCCACATGTGAGAGCCCTGCAGTTTCCAAGACAGCCTACAAATGGTTTAACATTTGGATTATATCTCAGTAGAACTGTTTTCTTATGTAAGAAAACTTCATTCTTCAGTATTCTTGTCTGGAAAAATCCTTATTGCTATGTAGCTCTCAAAATACATGTCATCAGCCCTTTTCCCTGGATAAACTCTAAACACTAAAATAAACTACATGAGATGTATGACTTTTTCCACATAGTGTGAATGTGAATATTAATTTCAGAATTTCAATAATGTCTTGTATCAGATTGCTATATAAATATATATATATGTAAGTATATCTCAAAACAAAAAAATTGAATGGAAACCTATGTTGTTTGGTAGTCTTTTTGTTTGTTGTTTTGCTTTTTAATTTAATATATGATTGATATCTCCTTTCAATACCATTTGGTCTGCTGGAAAACTGATTTTCATATTAATTTAGGGTTAAGTATTCAGGTGCTTGTATAATTCCTTTTTTATGTGTAGCTTCTGATTCTGTACACTAATGAATTGACAGCACCACTACATAAAGCTTATTTATGTGAGAAAAAAGTTATATTACTTTTGTATTTAAAAAACAATTTCTGTTAGTACTGCACTGTGTTGCATACAGTTTATTCCTATACTGAGCACCAGCTACTAGGGAAAGAATAAATAGAAGCTACTGCTAAACAGATACTACTTGCTAAAAAGGAGAAATATATTTCAGGATCCTAATTTCAGACTCTTACAAGTAGGGCTGTAGAGTGAAGGACCAAAGCATTATGGGGCTACTATGTCTTGGAGAGATTGTAGATACTTTTCAGGGGATCTAGTTTTGTTAAGGCTCATTGAGTTGAGTTTAGTCGCAAAATGAAATATACTTGTAAGAAGCCTCTTAACCACTAATTGTAATTATCAAACAGTGCAGTGTATTGCCTGTGTAAAATGTATTTTCAGTTTCTTATAGGAGCACCTTTCAGTCAGACTGGTTCCCACCAGGTTTTGTGCACTGACAGTTATTGTTCTTGTAGACTGTTTTTGGCCTGAAGATAGTAAAAGTGCAGATTTCTTTCTCCTGCAGGTGTAATTAAGGAAGATTTTTTGTCTTTTAATTTTATTTGATGGATGCAGATTTCAGAAGGAAAGCAACTATTTCCCTTCAGTTTTAAATCCTAATTGTCAGCCAGGTCACAGTTTACCTGGCAGATTAACTGTTCTCTCTCCATCAACAGTAGAATCTACTTTGGGGGCCAATGGGAATACAGAATTTTTTATTTACTTTATATTATAATAAATCAGGGGAAATCTGATACAGTGAGGCTCTAAGAAAATTCCTGTAAATATGTAAATATGAAAACAGACATTATGTGGGAGAAGAGTTAGCTATAACAGCACAAGATTTATCAGACAAAAATAATCATGCTCTTATCTTCCAACTCAGAATATTCTGTGATTCTGTGATTGGTTTTTAAATATTCATTCAAATATTCCCATTTTTCTGGCATGCCTACAGGAATATCTACTTGACAGAATTGTCCTTACATCTTTTGACTATCAGATATTTTTTTGACTATCAGATTTTTTTTTATCTTCATTCTAACAGTCCTTTCTGGTTCTAACTGGTTTCCTAGATAATTTTTGCAGTAGCTCATAATTAATGAAAAAAATGTTGAATAAATAATCAACACTTTATAACTTGGTAGACACTGACAGTTTGGACATTCCTCTAGTGTCAATCTTGTTATGAATTACTGATCACTGTATTACTAAATTCACTGATTACAGTGGAGAAGGCTTGAGTGGGGAGGTTGGACCAGATGTCCCACTGTGGTCCCTTCTAACCTTACCCATTCTGTGATTGTGATACTGCAAGAAACTTTCAGTATTTGCTTAGTCATCTTGACTAATTTTTTCACCTGAAAAATGTAAATATCTCTTGTTTAAAATGAGATAAAACATAAAACCACTCCATAACTTTAAAGTAAAAATGAATGCATGATGTGCTGATAATCTCTTTACTGATCTCAACAGTTTAGAGAGTTAAAAGTAGTAGCTCTGAAGTTTTTAACTATTTTCAGATAATTAGTGAAAGCAGAATTTTGATCAGGTATTATGGATAATTTTTTCTGATAGTCATTGACAGAAAATGTGTTTTCCTTGAATGCATAGTAGATTCTCCTGAAACCTGAAGGTGTTAATTTTAATGAAATACATAGTACATATAAAATTGAACTTACAAGAAACTGATAAAAAGCTGTGCCAGAATCTACATGGAAAGAAAGATGTCTGAGATCAAGGGTAGTTTTCCCCACCTCATTCCCAGCATTTTCCAATTTTTGAATTTATTTATGCCTCTCCGCATATACTATTCACAATTGTTGTAAGTTTAAAGTTTTTTATGTATCTATGGACAACTTATATTCCTTCATAAATCACTTCTGGTAAATTAGTCATACACACAAAAGAGTCTTCTCTGTGTGCAGATGGGGGAAAGGAAAATAAGCGCTGGTAAATCAACCACTTTTCTTTTAGTGTCAACACAGTGCAATGATATCAGCTTGCAACAGAGTTAAGCAACTGAGTAGCACCAGAAGGAAGAAATATTTGATTACTAAACATCCTGGTGCTCAGCATTGTTATGAATGTAAGCATTCATTAAAAAAAGTTCAATTTGTTGCAGGGCTTGGTGTCTCAAGATATTGTCAGGCACATAAACATTTATCATGCTTTCAGTATAGTTTCTGGTGGACTAAATGGTGTTCTTGGCAGACTTGCTCACAGTAAGAGAAAAAGCAGAATAAATTTTTTTTTTCCTATATTGAATATTGAAGTACTTGTCAAATAAAAATGTAGACAACATTTGTCTTCCCTTTCCTGTGGAGGGACTGCTATGGATTCTGGTAATCTTTGATTGCACCTTTTAGATGAAGAAGGAAAAGAATTCTAGAAAATGTCAGATATACTGTAAATAGTCACTGCAAAACTGCCCAGTGTCACACATGCTAAGTAATAATTTGCTTGCCAGG